TCCTTGGGTTCTTTGATGTATTTTAGAAGGTGAGATTTCTTAGATATTTGTTCCCTATGCAATAGAAGCATTATTTTAATTACTCCATGGTTGATGTGAAAGCCTTTTGAGAAGTGAAAGCTACTGCATAAATTTTAAGCTATTTCTTAGAGGTGAGACAGCTTATAAGTAAGTCAGTGTTTTATATCACATTTGGTAATGTTGAGGTTTATGAGTGCTTTGGTATAGTAATTATCCACAGGTAATTTGGGTTAGGTATTAAAGATTTACATTGACATTCATGTCATTCCTCAACCCCATTGCCCACGTTAAAAATAAAGCAATCTCAGGATAATAAAAGCAGTGGTTGGAAAAAAAATGAATAGTAAAACAACATCTCCTCCTATTGCATGAGTGGTACTAATTCAGGATTGCTACATCAAACAGTGGCATATGCTGTGCAAAAAGCATAGAATGTGTTCATTCTCTCTGACCTCTTGAGTTACCTTTTTCCTTTATTGTAGGTATCTTATTGAATGCTGCACCTAAAATTCAGGCATCCAGCAGGTTGTCCTAAATATGATGATTTAGATTGGGAGATACATTCATCTAAACCTAATCCAGTTACGGGTAACTTAATTAAGAGAATAAAATATGCCAGCACTTTTCTGCTTCCAGAGGAGTATTATATTAGAGCATTCGCATATTTGCACTTTCTGCAAAAAAAACACAGGCAGGAAAAAAAAAAGGCATCACAGATTCTTAAATGTAAATGTGACCCAAGAATTCATCAGTATCAGTGCTACCCTTTCGAGTCCAAAGATTTTACCTTCTAAATCAAAATGTTAATGTACTAATTAAAACTGTTGTGATTTAAAAGATTTAGCAGTTTATTCCAGAACGACTGTTTATCACACAGAAAAGGTAGTAAATTGCAGATGAATGATGTTTTTGCATAATATTGGTCCAGATAAACAAGTACTGAATTACTATTCCTATTATACCATTAAAATGTTTTCTGAGAAATGTAACACAGCTCGAGTTTTAGTTTAAAGGTGCATTATGTTTAATTAGACTTTTAATCTTTTACTAGTTCTAAATTTTGTTTTATTTGTATTACTTGGGGCCTGTTTTCAATAAAGGAATACCAAATGATTGATGTTTAAAAGCAAGGGTTTGGTATATGTTTCTTTAGGTCATTATCTCAGATATATATTATGAATATAATCACATTTTATATATATATAGAAAATTTAAAGGTGGTATTCATTTTCTCCAGGCAACTGCTCAAAACTTTAATATGTTCTAGTTCTGAACTTAGACAAGGATCCAAGATTTCTCAAACTGTAGTTCACGTTTGACTTAAATGTGCATGTTTTCTGAAATGGCAAAATCCCTCAGGGCTCTGTAGTTTTCACTAGTGTGTGTGTTTAAAGTTCATAGGCAAACACAACTGAATAAACCATGGAACACATTATGTCTCTGTGCCTGAGAAATGCAAATTGTTATAGGTCAATTGCTTAGAGGTCTTGTCTCTATCTTGTATAACTTGTTTGCAATTTGTTTTTCATTTATTCCAAGCATATGCAATTCACTTTATATTTGCTTATTTATCTGTTGTTCAGTTGCCTGCAAAGTGTGCTTTTAACATGAGGAGAAACTATTCTACCTAGACTGTGCCTTCCTAAATCTACTGACTAATGTTTATCAATATGCACATGTCTTACCATGCAAGAACTGCCATCCTAAATTTCCAGGCCCAGGAGGGGAAATTATTGCTCACATACCACCCTGATTACTTGTACGCATATCCAAAGGAATATTAACTACCAAACGGGAGCGATCATAGCTAAGCTAAGAAACAGATCTGCCTTGTGATGTTAGGATCACAGATACCATGCACACCCTGGGAAAAACAAACACACACACACAAAAACAAAACAAAACAACCCTCTTTTCAAATGCAGGGCAGTAGCCCAAGCTTGGAGTCTCACAGTTCTGGAGTCCCATTCTAGTCTACCATTTACTAAGTGTATAACCTTTGATGCACTCTGTAAATTCTCTGAGCTTAGTTTCCCCAACTGATAAAATGAGCATTCTAGCCCCGTGTGAGAGGACTGTTGTAAGAAACAGGAAAGAAGGAGGGAAGGCACTGAAAAAATTGCTTGTGGTATAAGACAAATCATTCCTGTGTTGTTGTTGTTGTTGTTGTTGTTGTTTTTAAATGTCTTGATTTGTGGTGTAAATACTCACATCATAGTTGATTGCAAACTATGAATGATTTAGCAACCAGCTGATAAAATTCTTGAATATGTAACAGTCCTCTGGTATCATTGTAGCCTCTACCACAGCACTGCTAGCCTCTAACAAATGGTAATAATTATTTCCTCGTAGGTGTATTTTGTCTTCCATTGATCTAAGAAAGTTTTTGCTGTTTAGTGCATTTCTTTGTAGATGGGAGAATGTGAAAGCTAAGGGAAGAATAGTAATGTTCAGGGTTTAAAATATTAATGGTTTCAAGTAACAAAAAAGAGCTACCTTAACAATTTTGAAAGTAGGTAAAAAACTTACAACAAGAAAGAAACATTTTAATAATAGGAAAATGTTAGTAAAATGTTTTAAAAATAGAATAAAGATCACTTTGTAAAGTGTTCTAGGTGAATTAAATTTAATATTAACTTTATCAGATTGGTTAGAAATGGTTTGATTTTTATGGTCTCACTTTCCTTACACACAAAAAGTCCTAAGGGAAAAATTGTGTGTATTTGCTACATTAACAAGTAAAGATAAGCAGAGAGCCATTATGTACAAACCTAGTCCTTAGAAAAAGAGCTTCTTTCAATTTTATCTGATAGTTGTTTTATATTAGTCAAGACTGATTTTAGATTTTAAAAGTTTGCTACAAGGATATATTATTTGGAAGAATGTCTTTTTTTAACTTTATTTATTTTGAGAGAGGGAGAGAGAGAGGGAGAGAGAGAGAGGGAGTGAGAGAGAATCCAAAGCAGGCTCTACACTGACAAAAACTGTGAATGAGATCATGACCCGAGTCGAAGTCAAGTGTTGGATGCTTAACTGTCTGAGCCACCCAGGCACCCCTGGAAGTATTTCTTTACTGAGTAACCATGGTGATTGGGCGGGGGTGGGGGGGAACACTAATGTAAATTTGTGTGCACAATCTGACATGATGGCCAAGGGATGGCATACTTGAACTGAGATTGCTCTGGAGCATCTGGGCACATGAAGCCTTCAAATGACTTCCATGTAGCAATGAACATTTTACTGTGCATAGTATAAAGTTGTGGGTGATCTAGGATAAAATCATCAGAATTCAGGGCAGTTGATGAAATCAACCTGTGCCGAGAGTTCCAGCTTTTATGTGCATTTACTGTGTCGTGAACAGTCAGTGCTGGGATGCCACGCCTAGGAAATGTGTGGGCAAACTCAAGGGTGTTGCAGTGAGTAAAGGCTGACTTACTTTGATGAAACTCCTCTGTCCATTTCAGGAGGAGGAGGCTCCAGGATGGGGACACTGAAGGGACATGAGAGTATTTTCTATGTTCATCTCACTCACGAACTGACAAGTCATTGGCATAGTAGGTCTATATAACCAGATAGGGCTGTAGGGAAGAACTGGGAAGACTGCACATTAGCACCACAAAATCAATGTCTTGGTAAAGTGAGAGATCCTCACTGCAGCATGGGGCCCCACATGCAAGTACCTGTTTTTCTCTGGGGATGCATATGTCTCTTCCTAAATGCATGTAACTATGTACATATTACCTTTCCTAGAAATATAATGGGTGGACATGAAAACATATTCCATGAAGTAGTTAAATGGCATTTGGGGTGTTTGATCAGATTCGAAGAAAGAGAGAAAGACTGCGCCTTATTTCCTTTACCTATATAAATTAAAATATTTCTCAGGGTGTGAATTACCTTTATTATTATCACAGCCTAGTGTAGGGGCAAAGGTTACATTGTTGAGCTGATAAAATTTTCTGGGGTTTATATTACATATTTAAGTAAAGTGAAAGAGGGGAAAGTATTTTCTTTCCCATTGACATAAAATGTGATTACTTGCTATCCTTGTGAAGTTATATCATCAGCCTCCTGGATAAGGCTGGCTAGTATGTCTTCAGATTAGATGCAAAACAATGGACACTCTTGTCTGTTCATTTCTTCCTGGGACTCTTTCCCATGAAAACGTATTCAGTAATTAAAAGAAATGGCATGTTATAAACTAATGGAAGCTTTACCCAGCATCAGTACCTATCAAAAAGCCAAGGGGGTATATTTCAGGGATTGTAGGGTCAGGATTTCCCGTAGTCAGTTCAGTAGTGCTGTTACTGCTTTTATTACATCCTCCCCCATCAGATATTTTCTTTTTCATGCAATTCACTCCGCAAGCAAACACCAAAAGTGGGGACACCTATTTAGCGAGCGAAAATATATTTAGAATACTTTGGCAAGTTATCTTTTAAAAATGTATTTCTCTTCTGAGCCACCTGCAGTATTGAGCTGAAGGCTTCAAAACATGAAAAATCCTACATTTTTTTTAAGATCCTGGGTTTAGGGCTTTTCTTTTAGATTGAAACATTGTCTGCCTAGAAAGTATTAATATTGAGTTAGATATCTAGGCTTTGGAATACAACGATTATAATGATACCAATCATTTATTAAGTGTGTATTGTCTCCTTGGTACCACATTGTGTCACTGATCCTCAGAACAGTTCTGCCAAGTCAGTGCTTTTAATCTCTCCCTTATGTAGTTAAGGAAACTAAGGCTTAGAAATAGAAGTAATTCTTCCAAGTTTATATTGCTGGTAAGAGAGGGAGAGGGTATTTCAACAAAGGCAAAGTGATGCAGCGTCCACACCCTTCACCACTGACTTATACCGTCCACTCAAGTTCATAATTTCATACTGGTTGTGTTGGGAAGTGTGCAGACTGACCCATTTTTGTGTGGAGGGTGGCGTGGAATCCCTGAGTAATTGACATCCTTGTCTTTGTGCCCGTAGGCGCCTGGGGAAGGTGCGTAGGAGACTGTGGACCCGGAGGAGTCCAGAGTCGTGCCCTGTGGTGTTTCCACTTGGAAGGGTGGACGAGTCACCTCTCTAACTGCGATGAGAACGGCAGGCCTCCAAAGGAAAGAAGCTGCTTCCGAGTCTGTGACTGGCACCGTGACCTCTTCCAGTGGGAGGTCTCTGACTGGCACCACTGCGTGCTCGCCCCTTCCAGCCTAGGCCGAGCCGCGCCTCGGCCCGCGGAGTGTGTGACAGCGCAGCATGGGTTACAGCACCGGGCTGCGCGCTGTATTCAGAAGTTGAACAGAACCGTGGTTGGAGATGAAATATGTGAACACTTTGCCCCCCGCCCCACCACAGAGCAAGCTTGCCTCGTCCCCTGCCCCCGGGATTGTGTTGTGTCTGAGTTCTCACAGTGGTCCGAGTGTAGGAAGGGATGTGAGAAGCAATTGCAGCACAGAACCCGGGCAGCCGTCGCTCCCCCTCTCTACGGCGGCTCTCAGTGTCCCAATCTGACCGAGTCGAGAGCCTGTGACGCTCCTGTTTCCTGTCCTCTTGGAGAAGAAGAATATACTTTTAGCCTTAAAGTTGGACCATGGAGTAAATGTAGACTGCCTCATCTTAAAGAAATTAACCTCAGCGGAAGAACTGTTCTGGATGTTAGCTCCGATTCAAAGGAGCGAGTCACCGTTAGAAATCAGAGTTACAAGCCACATCACTTTTCCAAGACCTGGGACTTAGAGATAGGTTATCAAACCCGGCAGGTGTGGTGTACCAGAAGTGACGGAAAAAATGCTATGTTAAGGTAGGAGGCCTTCAGTGTTTATATCTTTGCTTCACTTAGGTATTTTACAGTGTAATTTTGTAAGATTTCTTTATGATTTCCTACAAAGGGATAATTATAACCAGGTTGGGGATTGGGTTTTTAGAAGTTCAATTTAAGAAGTTTTCAGTTTCAATTATGAATACTTCAGAGTATAGACCAGGCAGGGCTCTGAATTCTTGCATAATTACTAGTATAGCTATATACAATAAAGCAAACATTTCCACATTTTATCCAAGTATAAACAAGTTTAAAAAAATTTTCACTGCAGTAATAAAAGACTAGACCTTTCTTTATAATCATAAAAATTCAAATTGACTCTCATACTTGGTATATAAATTATTCAAAAATTACCATGTTTCATAATGTTCATGTTTTTAATTTCTTAAAATGCTTATTTACTTTTGTGTGTGTGTGAGAGAGAGAGAGAGAGAGAGAGTGAGTGAGCATGAGTGGGGTAGAGGCAGAAATAGAGAGAGAGGGAGACACAGAATCTAAAGCAGGCTCCAGGCTCTGAGATGTCAGCACAGAGCCCGATGCGGGGCTTGTACTCATGTACTGTGAGATCATTACCTGAGCCCAAGTTGGGTGCTCAACTGACTATGCCACCAAGGCACCCTATATTCATGTTTTTGAAACTTGTTTTTATTTACTTTTGTTTTCATGATTAAGAAGGCTGTCTAACATTTTAGTTGTAGATATTTTTATGATAGTAATAATAGCAGTAAGTTAATCTAAGAATGCTTTCTTATGGCACCGATTTGAAAAAAAAATAGTGCCTTGCACAGCAATAATTAGAATTACAACCCCATAGAGGGGATGAACTAAAACTTTTAAAAAGAAAGTTAAGGCTATTAAGGCTTAGAAAATATTTGTAATTGTTTTACTTTAAATTGTAGTACAAGAAAATGATGACCTAAGTATATAGAAATATGCTCAAAGTAGCATTTGTTTAATTTTCCTCTGAATGTCTTAAACGGAGGCACTGGTATGTTACCAAGTTTTTCTAAACTTAAATGACTTTCAGTAGGACTTATATTACAAAACAGTGAATCACTCATCTCTAGAATTAATCATTATCATCAGTTACTGTTCTCTTAGAATCCACAGCTGGCTGGGAGAAGCTCAAAACACTACCTCTGCTATTCAAGAACAAAGTAATGTGATGATTGTTTTTTGTTTTTCATTTGACTTCACAAATGAGCATATTTCATCTTTGATGCTTCGTTCTGATTTATGCCATATGCAGTTGGCAAATCCATTGAAGAGTGATTTTCTGTCTTTTATTGCCTGCCTCTGTGAAGCCCAAAAGATTAAGCAGATGATTTGGGTGATTATTGTTTGAATGTGTATGTGGGATTCTGTAAAGACATTGTTTTCTTAATATTCCAGAGAATATTTTCAGTTTTAGTTTGCTAGTGTTTGCCATATTGTTGGGTTTTTTTTTCCTTTTTTTTTTTTTTTTCCTAATTAAGGGACTTTATTGTTTAGAGCAGTTTTGGATTTACAGAAAAAATACGTGGAAAATACAGTTTCCATATAGCTTCTCATCACTCCCCTCCACACATACCGTTTCATACACACATCTTGCATCAGTGTAATGCATTTGTTACAGTTTATGAACGAATATCAATATATTTTATAGTCCATCATTTATATTAGGATTCACTATGTTGTACATTCTGTGGGTTTGGAAAAATGTATAAGGATATGTGTCCATCATTACTGTATCGTATAGGACAGTTTCAGTGCCCTAAAATTCTGTGCTTCACATATCGATCCCACTTGTCCTCTCCCCAGTTCCCTGTCATTCAGGGATCTTTTTACTGATTGCATAATTTTATCTTTTCCCAAGTGTTATATAGTTGGAATGATACAGTTTATAGCTTTTTCTTATTGGCTTCTTTTGCTTAGCAATACGTATTTAAGATTCCTCCAAGTATGTTCATGGCTTGATAGCTCAGTTCTTTTCATCATTGAAGAATATTTGTTGGTTTACAAACTATCCCTGTACACACAGGGCAAAGAGAGACCAAAGAAAGAGGCAAGCCACTTCGACTGGTAGGTGGCAGTTTAGTAAGCAAGAGAACTTACTTATGAGGCTTGTCGTGGGTGCCTGTAAGACAAGTAGATCTCTGTACCCACCTACCAAATCTTAAAAGTTTACATAGAGGGCCTTAATTGGTTTCCTTCACATATACCATCTAGATGGTCTCAAAACACCTTACTCCTTTAAGGCCACTTAGAGCAGCTCCCACTGTGTACAGAGCATGCATTCCAAAGCGAAACAAGGGGGTGATAAGCCTCCAAATGCCCAAGTCTAGACTAACGGTCAACTGGCAGACACATCTTCTTGGTTTCCTCCTCCAACAGTGTCCTATTGTATGGATATATCACAGATTGTTATCCATTCACCTGTTGAAGGACACTTTGGCTGCTTCCAAGTTTTGGCAGTTATAAATAAAGCTTCTATAAACATTCATTTGTAGATTTTTATGTGAACATACATTTTCAACTCATTTGGAGAAATATCAGTGGGCGCATTCATACATATTATGAGAGTTTGTTTCGTTTTGTAAGAAACTTCCAGACTGTCTTCCAAAGTGGCTGTATCATTTTGTATTGCCACCAGCAATAAATGAGCATTGGGATTGCTTCACATTCTGGCCAGCATTTGCTATTGTCAGTAGTTTGGATTTTCACCATTTTTTAATAGGTGTGTTGTGGTATCTTATTTTAATTTGCAATTCCTTAATCACATGTGATGTTCAGCATCTTTTCATACGCTAAGATGCCATCTGTAGATCTTCCTTGATGAGGTGTCCCTTCAGATCTTTTGTCTACTTTTTGAGTTGTTTTCTTATGATTGAGCTTTACAAATTCTTTGTGTTTTGGATACCAGTCCTTTATCAGATACGTGTTTTGAAAATATTTCCTTCCAGTTGATGACCACCTTTTCATTCTCTCAACAGTGTCTTTCACAGAGAGGTTTTTGTCTTGTCTTGTTTTGTTTTTAATCTTAGTGACGTCCAACTTATCAATATCTCTTTCATGGATCATTCTTTGGCGTTGCATCTAAAACAACAAATTCTCTAAACATAAGATCAACTAGATTTTCTTTTTATTTAAATTTATATTTATTTATATATATTTATTTATATTTATATTTAAAATATAAAATAATATATTTTATATATTATTATCTAGCGGTTTTATAGTTTTACATTTTACATTAAAGTCGATGATTCAGTCTGAGTTAACTTTTGTGAAAGGAATAATGTTGGTGTCTGTATTCTTTTTTTTTGCATGTGGATGCCCAACTGTTCTAGTACCTTTTGTTAAAAAGACTCTCCTTTTTCTAATGAATTGCCTTTGCTCCTTTGCCAAAGATTAGTTGACTATGTTTATGTGGCTCTGTATCTGGGATGTTTGTCTTTAGTCCATTGATCTATTTATTCTTTGCCAATAAAACAATGTCTTAAATACTGAAGATTTATAATAAGTCTAGAAGTTGGGTAGTGTCAGTCCTCTGAATTTGTTCTTTTCTCTTTTTTTTATTGTATTATCTATTCTGGATCTTTTGTTTTTCCATGTAAACTATAGAACCAGTTTTTTTTTTTCCAATATCTACAACATAATTTGCCAAGATTTTGATTAGGATTGCTTGTAGTGTATGGATCAATTTGGGAAGAAATAACATTTTTTAAAATGTTTATTTATTTATTTTTGAGAGAGAGAGATAGCAAGCAGGAGAAGGGCAGAGAGAGAGGGAGACAGAATCCCTAGCAGGCAGGTTCCATACTGTCAGCATGGAGATTGATATGGGGCTTGAACCCACGAACAATGAGCTGAAACCAAGCATCGGAAGCTGAACATGAGCCACCCCAAGTGCCCCAAGAAATAACATCTTGATAATATTGAGTCTTCTTCTCCATGTACCTGCAATATTTCTCCACTTATTTACATCTTTTATTTCTTCTTTTGAGTTTTATACTTTTTCTCATGTACATTTTTTACCTATTTTATTAGATTGATACTTGAGTATTTCATATTTTTGATGCCAGTATAAATGTATAGTGTTTTTAATTTCAAGTTGTAATTTTTCCTGGCTGGTGTATAAGAAGCAGTTAACTTTTATATATTAACCTGTATTCTGAAACCTTGTTACCATTACTTATTAGTTCCAGGACTTTATGTTGTTATTGTTAAGGTTCTTTGGGATTATCTACATAGATAAGCATATCATTTGCAGACAAAGGAAGTTTTATTTCTCCCTTTCCAATCTGTATACTTTTTCTCTTTCCCTCCCTCCCTCCCTCCCCCTCCCTCCCCCCCTCCCTCCCTCCCTCCCTTCCTTCCTTCCTTCCTTCCTTCCTTCCTTCCTTCCTTCCTTCCTTCCTTTTCTCTCTCTCTCTCTCTTTCTCTTTCTTTCTTCCTTTTTTTTTTTAAATTCTCAAGTTAGTTAACATACAGTGTAGTCTTGTTTTCAGGAGTAGAATCCAGGGATTCATCTCTTACATATGACACCCAGTGTCATTCTGAAAAGTGTCCTCATTAATGCCCATCACTCATTTAACATTGCCCCCCAATCAATCCTCAGTTTGTTCTCTGCATTTAAGAGTCTTTTATGGTTTTCCTCTCTCTCTATTTTTATCTTATTTTTCTTCCCTTCCCCTTTGTTCATCTGTTAAGTTTCTCAAATTCCAGATATGGATGAAATCATATGATATCTTCTCTGACTGATTTATTTCACTTAGCATAATCCAGTTACATCCACATTGTTGCAAATATCAAAATTTCATTCTTTTTCATCATTGAGTAGTATTCCATTGTATGTATGTGTAGATACTACCTCACACCAGTCGGAATGGCTAAAAGTAACAAATCAGGAAACAACAGATGTTGGTGAGGATGTGGAGAAAGGGGGATCCTATTGCACTGTTTGTGGGAATGGAAACTAGTACATTCTGGAAATCTATATC